TCATATCCCGTTCAATCGTAGCGTGCGCTTTCAGGCACAGTTGTACTTGCCCTCCAGCTGTTGTTGCCCAGCTGTCCTCAGCTGCATGAACCATTCAACCTTCGTTCTTCGCGAGGTTTCCCTAAACGTCTTCTCGTCCTGCATGCATGCCCTCTGCAGGCCTTGACGCCCCGAGCGCGTCCCCGGAGGAGGTGGCGCGCTACACGGTGCGCACCATGCGCCGTTGCGTGCCTGCTGCCGTGCCCGGCGTGCATTTTCTGTCAGGAGGCATGAGCGAGGAGGAGGCCACTCTCAACCTCAACGCTCTGCAGGTGACGTGCAGCGCAGCGCAGCGGCCCATGGCATTATTGATTCTCATAGCATGCTTGCCATGTACTTGCTTTCAGACTGTGTGTCTCGCGCAAACATACTGATTCTCATCGCCTCCTCTCATTCTTTCCCATGCGTTCAGGCTTATGGTCCCCACCCCTGGTCACTCACCTTCTCGTACGGTCGGGCTCTCCAAGCCTCTACCCTCAAGATCTGGTCCGGCAAGGTACTGCTCCCTTTCCCTTGCGTCACGACGTTCTTCTCCCAAACCCCACAGTCCCCTGCATTGTCCCCTTGCCTCTCGCTTTTCGCTAGTATTCATATTAGAATAGCTCCATTGTTTGTGAGTCCACCTGTTTTTGCTATCTGATGCGGACAAGTGTGTACACCCACATACTGTTGCTCCAATGCTCACTACTGCTTCTGCCAGTCAGTATAGTCACCAGTGCCATTACAACCATGACTTTTGTCCCCTGTTGCTCTCATACATACATTACTGTCCACTTTCAGCCGGAGAACAAGGCAGCGGCTCAGGAGAGGTTGGTGGCACTGGCAAAGGCCAACTCAGAGGCTCAGCTTGGGAAGTACAAGGGCCCGCACCCATCCCCCGGTGGAGGCCGCATTCTCCAGGCCCTGCGCCTTGGCGGTGCTGGCAAGTAAATATTGGATTGATTCAGGAATGAATATTTATGTTTTTGTTTATTCCTGTTATGCAAGAAGCTATAACATGCTCGTGGCATTGGTTTCAAGTGTGGTGATGGCTAAGACTCAACACAACAGTGATGTGCACAACATTAATCCCCCCCGCAACCAGTAGGCTAGGCGGTCTTCCTCTCCAGTCCACCAAAATGCCCATATGATCAGCTCCACCTGTCAGAATCCCAGTCACTAACCACTGGGATAAAAGGGCTTGTTTATATAGCGGGTGAGTGCGCCCATAACCCCCCAGGCCGACATGCCTGTAACCCTTCCCTAGGATCATCGGGGATCTCCAGTGGACCTCTGACACCCCCCCGCACTGGGATGCCCGAAGTGCACACACCGGGAATCGAACCCGAGACCTTCGCTCTGATACCATGTCAGAATCCCAGCCACTAACCACTGGGATAAAAGGGCTTGTTTATATAGCGGGTGAGTGCGCCCATAACCCCCCAGGCCGACATGCCTGTAACCCTTCCCTAGGATCATCGGGGATCTCCAGTGGACCTCTGACACCACCCATCCAGAGAAAGCATACAATCACCAAACCAAACTAGACTTCTTCAGTTACATCGGCACACCACACCCCTTCCGTAGCTAGCCAAACGAACACAGCTAGGGGGTTCACATTACGAATCGATGGCCGTTAGTTGCCCATTACATTGTTACTCACAATTTCTAGCATGCATGCACATAATATCGTATTCTACTTCAACCCAAAATTGCCCAAGCCTCACAGCCAATACTTCAGCACATTTCATGCATTAGCATCAACATAGTTTTTCGTGAGTGTTTCCTGAAAGCATATCCCCTTTCACTATGTGCCCTTCGTTCGCGATAGTGCAACCCTAGCTCTTCAAAAATCGTCACAGCAACTGGTTCAGCTCGGTTTTGCACGGTTTACATTCGAAGAAGTTTCTCCCACTATCTACTGGAACCACTTCAATCGCACTCGAGTTACTTGTGCATGTGTGCAAGCCCCACCACCACCAGCAGTAGTTGTAAGCTTTCTTTCCCACAATCGCTGCTGCTTCGCTCAATTCACGCACGTCGCAATGGCTCCGCGCGGCGCTGGCAAGCGGCAGAAGCAGGAGCGAGCGGCACGGGCGGCGGACGACGCGGAGAAGGCGAAGGAGCTAGAGAGCATTCTGTTCGGTAAATCAAGCGATTACGTGGCAGACCTCGGAAATGAGCTGGCAGCGGGAGCTGTCGACAGCGAAGCTGCCGCGGACCTTCTGCCGAGCAGCGAGGATTTGATTACCGCGCATTTCGGCGGAGAACCCGGTGGAGAAGGCGGGGACGCGGAGGGTTTGGCAGGAGGCGAGGTTCTGCTGGGGTTTATCGACCGCAAGAAGCAGCGAGTGGAGGAGGACGGGCGAAAGGGTTCGAAGGGGAAGAAGCGCAAGGGGAAGGGTTTAGGGGAAGCGGAAGCGGAGAAACCCGCTTGGGTGGACGAGGAGGACGAGACGCTGGTTGTGACTATAGCGGGGCAGAATCGGCTGAGGAAGCTGCGGAAGGATGAGGACGAGGTGGCTGTATCGGGGGTGGAGTATCAGCAGCGGTTGCGTGCGCAACACGCTAGGTTGAACCCGGGAACGAGGTGGGCCAAGGTAGGGTTAGGGAAGCAGCGGAAAGAGAAGAAAGGAAAGAAGGAAGAAGCGAAGCGGGAAGTACCGGTTACGAGGAAGGAGAAGCGGGCCATTGCTGTTAAAGAAAAGCGCTTTAACGAGGATGGCGAGAGCGAGGAGGAGGAGGAGGAGGAAGATGAGGCTGATGCAGGGGAGTTATCAGATGGGGAAGCGGGGGGGGTATTCAGCGATCTGGCGCAGGAAAGAGCTGCCATGGGGGTGGGTGAGGAGGATGATGAGGAGGGAGAGAGTGAGGGAGACGAGGATCAGGACGGATTTGATGCCGATGAGATTCTCCGCAACATGCCAATGCTTGCCGGCCAGAGCAAGGACCGAGCCAGCCAGCGCACCACCCACCGCCTGCCGCCCGGGCGGATCCGAATTTCCCGCGTGCGCGACGCCAACTGGCAGGCCCCCACTGGCGCCAGCGCTGTCACTCCCCTAGCGCCGTCCCGCGCGATCCAGTCGCTGAGCTGGCACCCGAACGGGCAGCTGCTGCTGTGCGGGAGCATGGATGGACGGGTGAGATTCGTCCACGTGGACGGCGAGGAGAATCCCGAGCTGCAGTCCATCTACTTTGAGAACGTGCTCGTGCGCACCGCAGCTTTCACTGCCGACGGCACACAGGTGGTCGTGGCGGGGCGTAACGGCCGTAACGCCAACCGCGGTTATGCCACGGGCGAAGCGTTCAACGGTTACCACGTGTACGATATCGGCGCGGGGCGAGTCGCCCGCGTGGATGGGATTATCGGGCGGCCGAAGCGCGACCCGCCGCTGACCCGGTTCTCCCTGTCCCCAGACGGAGGAAAGGCGGCGTTCCTGTCTCGCGATGGGTTTATTGTGCTCGTGTCACTCAAGTCCCGCCAGTGGATGGGGAACCTCAAGCTCAACGGCTCTGTCTCCTCCGTCTGCTTCGCACCCGCTGTTCCCTCCGACACTGCTGCCGCTGCGGGTGGGGCTGACGGGTCAAGTGGTGGTCCGAGTGGGCAGTCACTGACAGGGGAGCATCAGATGCTAGCCACGGGGAGTGACGGGGAGATATACCACTTTGATATGCGCATGATGCGGTGCATTCACAGGCGCGCAGACGACGGGTGTGTCAAGGGCACCGCCATTGCAGCGTCCCCAGACGGGCGGCATTTCGCGGCTGGATCCGACTCTGGAGTGGTGAACCTCTATGACCGCCCCGCCTTCCTTCGCTCAGGCCCCTTTGGTAGCATATCAACAGCAGAAGAAGCAGGAGTGGCGACGGGAGGCTGGAGCCGGGACAGCGAGAAACCTCTGCAGCGGGCATTTATGAATCTGACGACTGAGATTGACTCGCTCTCTTTCAACCATGATGGCCGCATTGTCGCCCTCTCGTCCCGAGAGCAACGTGATGCGCTGCGCCTGGTGCACGTGCCATCACGCTCCGTCTTCTTCAACTGGCCCACTGAACGCACGGCGCTGCAGTTTGTGCACGCGGTCGAGTTCAGCCCGCACAGTGGGTACCTGGCTGTGGGAAACCGGCGGGGAAAGGTACTGCTGTTCCGACTAAGGCACTATGACAGGGCTTAGCTGCTTCAGGGGGACTGATTGGTTGCCTGATTTGCACACTAGCAGCCCTGCAGTTTGTGCACGCTGTGGAGTTCAGCCCGCACAGTGGGTACCTGGCTGTGGGAAACCGGCGGGCGAAGGTACTGCTGTTCTGAGGCACTATGACAGGGCTGCTTCAAGGGGACTGGTTGCCTGATATGCACACTAGCAGCCCTGCAGTTTGTGCATGCTGTGGAGTTCAGCTTGCACAGTGGGTACCTGGCTGTGGGAAACCGGCGGGGGAAGCTGCTGTTGTTCCGATTGAGGCACTATGATAGGGCATAGCTGCTGCTGCCGAGAAGGATGCACTGTGCTGCAGTCTGTGCTCTCTCTGAAGTTCAACTCACACAGTGGGTGGGTACCTTTCTGTGGGGAACTGGGGGGGGGGGTAGGTGCTGCTGTTGAGTTCCGACTAAGGGACTACGAGTGGGCGTAGTAGCTGCTGAGAAGGGCGCAGTGTGCTGCAGAGGGCGCAGTGTGCTGCAGTTGTGCACTGGGTGGAGTTCAGCCCACAGTGGGTACCTGTGTGTGGGCTTTCGTGGGTGGAGGTACAGGTCTTCCGTGTTGAGGCATTATTAGAGGATCTAGAAGCTCTGTGATTTGGAGGGGGCTGGGGTGCTAGAAGAGTTTCGTAGTAAGGCATTGTTCTTCAGCTCACTCCAAGAGAGTCACCTTTGCAGCTGTGTGTGTCTCCTTGTGTAACAACTGCCTCACGGGCACATGTGGAGATGGGAGCATCAACACGCCTAAAACATGGTACAGATATGGCTTTATCAAAATGCTGGAATGTTATTTTGCTACCGGTTGTTCCATAATGCCACTCTCACTCTTCTCATCCCTGGCATTCCCGAGCTGAACAGCAGCACTTCCTCCTGCAAACAGAAACAAAACTTGTTAGTGATAGAGGCCATGTGCCAAGGCTGAGCACATCATGTGGAAATACAACTCACACCGGACAAGTACTTACCAAATATCAGTGCTGCTCCCAGGTACCCTACAGTTGTCCACTCCTCCTGTAGGACTAAGGAGGCTAAAAGAGCCGAGTAGAGCGGCTCGAGAGTGTAGACCATGGCCACTTCAGATGCCGCAACATGGCGGAGTGCCACGATCTGTCTCAACACAAGACCCAAGCAATGTGGAAGCTCAGTGGATACACATAAGGCATGTTGGCCATTTCAAAGGCCGCTACAAGGCGGAGTGCCACAATCTATATCAACACACGAACCAAACAATGTGCAAGCTCAGTGGATACACAAAAGGCAAGGTAGAAAACAGCGATACCTGGCGAAGAGGGAAAGAGATTCGAAGGCGGTGGCAGTGGTGGGGTGTGGCAGTGGTGGGGGTGGCAGTGGTGGGAGTGGTGGCGGGAGTGGCTAGGGTGGTGGTGGTGGGGGTGGCAGTGGTAGGGGTGGGGTCCAACCTGGTAAGGGACAACAGCAACGAACCTCAAGCCAGAGGCAGAGTGCGGTGGAAACCACCCCTGTGTATCCCATCTGCACCCACGGCCACGATCCTGCCACTAAGGATAACCTCTCCAGAGCATCAGTGGGTGACGTGGCACTAATCAGGTCCTTGGCCTGAGCGGCAAATCCAGGCAGGGGCGTCTGAGCCCCTATGTCGGCTGCAAGGGCGGTGGTAGCGGATGGAAGATCGATGAGGGTGATGAATGCTGTGCCAATAGCAGCACAGCACGCCACTGTGGATATCTGCCAGTGGGAGAAGCAATTCAGCACACGCAGAGGAGCAGAGATGCAATGAATAATGTGCGCTATGCGACGGTGATTCCTACACAATTCACACGAGGATCACACAGCACAGCACAGCTCACATCACCTGCAAGGCAATGAGGTCAAGGCTAGCTGTGGCGGGCACAGTCTTGGCGAAGTGCTCCGATCGCACCATGAGCAGCCCAAACGCCATGGCGCTCACCAGCGCCAGCCCGTCCCCCACCTGAGCCAGCGATGTGATGTGTGTAGGGAGGGCAGGGGACATGGACAGAGGACGAGCGTTGAAGTGGGTTGGTCCCCAATCTTATGGCGGATGAAAATGGGAATAGCATTAAAAAATTCGGATATCCAAACCTGAGCATTGTTATCTGACACAAGCGTGTACCAAATAACTTGTTCCCGAGTACCGAGCTTCAGAAGGCGAGTGGACGCACTAGCGTGGAGGCCTCAGAGTTGGCTTCGAGGAGGAGAACGCCAGCAACGGCGGAGGCAGTGGCAGCCCACACGAGGGGAGGAATGCGCGCCCCCAGCAGCCCCGCCACCAGCGGCACCTCTATCATCTGCCCCCTCGCAGGTCAGACAGCATTAAGGATACAGCAAAGGATACAGCAAAGGATACAGCAAAGGATACAGCAAAGGATGTAACAAATATTTGACCCGCCACCAGCGGCACCTGTATCACCTGCCCCGCAGAGCAGACAGCAGGATACAGAAAGGGATGTGACAAATATTTGACCCGCCACCAGCGGCACCTCTATCATCTGCCCCGCAGGTCAGACAGCAGTAAGGATACAGAAAGGGATGTAACAAATATTTGCCACCAGCGGCACCTCTATCATCTGCCCCGCAGGTCAGACAACAGAGTACGAGACAACCGATATCATTCAACTGATTTTCTTGGAGGAACACTGCCAAAAGTGAAGGGATGACTTTTGAGTTGACTCAAAAGCCAAAGGGGAATCTACGAAAGCTCATTCCCCTGCTTACAGTGAAAGTGCCGATAAAGGCCACACGGCCAGCGCCAGTGGTGATGAGAGCGAAGGCCTGGGAGAGATACGCGAGAGCCGCCCAGAGGCCCATCTCAATGCCGCAGCGGCGGACGGCGGGGTTGGCGAGGGCGGCGGGAAGCAGCGGAGAGAGCGCGAGTGCCGCGATGGCGAAGCGACCCAGACAGAACGGCAGCGGCCCTCCTGCGGCTTCCTCTGCTCCCTTAATCACCGTGCCGTTGCTGGCTGCAGGCAGTGCGGGTGTGACGCAGGTAGTATGGGAGGGAAGGGACGTGGAGCGTTCAATTGTGGGAGTTTTGAGGCGTCTCAAAAGTCAATTGTGGGAGGGTGGATGAGGATGGGAAGCGCAATTGACTTGACGACACGGGGGGTGAAGAGAAAGGGAGGGAGGGGGGCAAATGACTGTTGAATTCCCGATGCAAATATGCTTTTATTAAACGGTTAGCAGCCTGCATACCATAGAGCATGGTGAATGATAATCATGGTGCATGATGGGTGCATACCATAGAGCATGGTGAGCGCGTTCAGAACGATGAGGCCGCCAGTGCGAGACGCAACCACCTTGGTGACGGCTTCAGCACCCTTCTCCATCAGCCGTGGCACCAAGTCCGCGAGGGACCGAGCGGTACCCTCCTCTTTTTGTTCTGACGGATTTCCATCGGGTAAAACTTCTTCCCGTTCTAATCTCGAGCTTCCGTCGCTGACGTGGCAGCGAATGGTTTCGGGGCGTCCAGCTACAGCAGTGTTGCCGCGCGGGCGAAGAAAGCGATGAAAGTGATCGGATGCTCTTACTAGTAGCTGGGTGCGTATCGATACATACTTGTGATGCTCAAGTGTCGTTTGCAACAAGACGGTTCGTGATGAGTGGTGTGGACAGTCAAGGCATCGGATCGAGATGAGCGAACAGTCACGGCATTGAACGTGGCGATCGGATAGCCGCTTAGAATGCTGCGGTTGTTGGAAGGTTCTGGTGAACTGCCTATCCAGAAGCGAGGAGGACATTATCGCGAACTTAGGGAGCAGCAGCGTGTGTCACTGGCGGAATGAGGGTACCATGTGCATGCTAGGCCAGGATCGCATCGCATCGAAATTCACCGTCGCACGCACGTTGGTTCTAGAGCTTAGCCTCTAATCCGCCTTCGTTAGACGCTCTATTCCATCAGCACCCACTCCTAGCGCGATACAGTTCATTGAGATTCTTCCAATTCGCCGACTTCCCGGGCTTCTCCAGCCCGCTACTGAGTCTGCAGCTTCACCTTGAGGTTGTCATGTGCTTTTCTCCTTCTGAGCGTTCGTCTCGGTCTGGATACCGATTATCAGCAACTCACGGAGTTCACTGAATCTGGTTCAATTGCTCCACAGTGACCTACCAGTGACCATCATCTTTCTGCTTCTGTCAGTTTCCTTGAAGGTCTGTTGTCAGACTGGTTTCCGCGCATTTCTTGGGATTGTCGCTGGCGCGCTCGCGGCACGTCACATTCACAAGCAAAAGTGATGATGAAGCTCCATACACTCACAATTTGTATGAAATAGTTCATACCGCACAACGGAAACGTCATCCAGAGCACCATGGTCTTGGCAGCACTAACTTGTTAGAACATCTACATCATTAGCTGCTTGGACTGAAGTATAGCAAGCAACACCAAGGCGAACCTGGAAACCCATAAAATCGGCACGTATTTTGCTATGTAAGCTTCATGTCATCATCACCTTAGCTGTCAATCAATCCCTTCCCTGAAACCTCCTCTTCTCTTCCTTGGCTAACCGCTTGTACTCCCTCCTCTCATACAACCTCGCTTCCTTGTCCTGTGCCTGCTCCCGTATCTTCCTCAACTTGCCCGCATCAGCCTCCAGACCCCCCATAGAAAACATAGCCTCAAAACTCCTCCCCGCACCACCCTTCACACTCCTCCCTTGCACTCCCTTGTCTCCATCGCCCTCTTTTGTCCTTTCCCGCTTCCTAATATCTGCGCCCCCCTCACTCTGCTTATCACCTCCATAGCCATCCCTTCTGGCAGCAGCCGCAGCAAGCTCTTTCTCCACACGCCGCCGTTCCTCTCTCCGAGCCTTCTTCCGAGCCAGCTTCTCCTCCCGAGCGTACCGCCTCTGCCGCTTCTTGCTCACCCGAACCTTGCCCTCCCGCTCAGCCTCCCGCACACGCCTCCTCTCCTCCCTCTGCTTTGCACGTTTACCCTTCTTCCGTTCCCCCTCCCCTGCAGCTCCATCCTCCCCCACCCCGTTTTTCCTCTTTCCATCCCCTCCTTCACCACCATTTCCACCCCCCTCGTCTGATCCACGCTCACTTGAGTCGGAGTCCGATTCTGATTCTGAATCTGATTCTGATCCTGAAGACGAGGAGGAACTGGACGAAGCATGCCGACTTTTCCTCCTCTTCTTGGTGCCCTCCTTATTCCCTTTCTTCTTGCTCTTCCTTCTTTCACCTCCGTCCCCACGATCTCCCCGTCCAGCGCCTGGTTCCTCACATGCTTTACCTTGCACCTTTTGCTCCTCCAAGTCCTCTTCTTCGCTGTTCCCACCACCTTCTCCAGCCTCCCTAGCCCTGGCACTGCTGCCTGCTACATTATCCTCGCTATTGACTGCCCCAGCACCCTGTGCAGCAATTTTCTCCTCCAGCTGTTTCTTCATGCGTGCCACACGCTCCTCATGACCCGGTGCCCTGCAGGCAGAGTGGGGCAGACATCACTCAAGCCTTTCAAACGTCCCGTAATCTTACAAAAAGCAAGGAATGTCACATCACATCAATAAACGCTCGCGGTAAGGAACTCAAGCAGAAAAGATTTGAGAACGCCAACAGCGAATCCAAGGGGAGCGGCACAGGAAGCGTAAGCAAGCACAAAAAGCAAAAGCTCCACAGGCCACCATTATCTGGTCATAATCAGATCAGCATGAGATGAGGCCACTCACGGTGCAAATCCAAGCCCTTGAATCCTCTCCCCTGACGCATACTCCTGCGTCAGCACCTCGCCGCTCTGCCCCCTCCTGAAGAGCTCATCCATCTCGCCCTTCTCCATGCCTCGCGTCTCCCCTGGCTTCGGCCCTCTCCTCTTCACGGGCGCTATCCCCAGCATCTCGTTCATTGCCGCCTCCTCCTCCTCCTTCATCCGCTGCCTCTCCGCCTTCAGTTGCTCCTCCGCGGCTGCTTTTGCGGCGGCCTTGTCCCCGGGCTTTGCCCGCGTGTACCACTGCAGGTCCTTGCCTGGTGCCATGGTGAGGGGAGAGATGAGAGAGGTGATTTAGATGGACTGTGCTACCGTGGGTACTTGACTAATGTGCTGCTTGGGGTGGGAAGAGATACGTAATTGCGCATAGATCGTAACACTGTACACCCTTGTTGTTTGAAGCTGTGGTGAGTTAGAAAGAAAGCTTGGGAGCTGGAAAGCGGAGAAGAGTTGAAATAAAAAGGAGGAAGATGAGAGGCAGAACAGAGTATCAATCCCAGGTCCTTGCTTCCCAGAGGAGGCCCATGGGGGTTGAGGGGTTGCATCTGGGGTTTACCAGCGAACCTCCTGCGTGAAGACACCTTAGGGTGCCTCGGACGAGCACGGGTCGTATGAACGCATGAACTGAGCACAAGGCATAGCATAGGTCGTATGGATTCCCGCCCCAAAGGTCAGCAAACCTAACCACTCCGGTCATTCGGCCCATATGAGCAGCCCAAGTGCTTGCAGCCCAGAATAGGAGATAGTTCCTGCAGCCCAGTGAAGAGGTTAAGTTCCGGCAACCAAGGATAGGAAATAAGTACCTTTCTGCCAGCGACCGACAGGCGCCATCACACTATTGCCGAGGAAATTCTCCCGGAACTTGTCACTCTTTACGTCGTCCCATTTAAATTCTGGTCGAGCGAAAGGGTGAGAAGATATAACTTCAGTAATTAGGGTTCGGTTTCTGGGTTTGGTAAATGGTACGGTCGTAAGGGGTACTTCTGCACAAAAGCGATCTACTCCGAGCCTCCTCGAACGTCGAAAATACTCCAACGACTACCTTGCATGATGAAGGGCTGCGATCGGAATGCGATGAAGTCTTTTAACGGAAAGGGCATACGGAGGGTAACGCGCAACAAGAACGACGATCTTCGGAAGGACCCGACAAAGCAAATACATTCGAGGCTTCACAGCGCAGACCCTCAATCTTGAGATGAGGCTACTGACTTACGATCTTTTCCTCCGCGAACGCCGCCCCTGGTTGGATGATACATGATGCAACTCTATAAGTCGGACCGAGATACTGAGGTCACAGCTAAGGCCTTGCTTGAGGTGAGTGCAGAGCATACTCCTAAGGACGAAGGTGTCAAGTCTGTTTGCCAAGAGTGTTGTGCTTCCTGCATAACAGGCAAATATACGCGCCTCAAACAAATTCATGATGTTGCGATGTCTAGGAACATAGACCTTTTAAAGCAAGGGTGCACTTTCGGGGGGGTGGAGGCAAAGGTTTATCACTTGCCTTGTATGGTTACCTGGTTTGTAGCTGGGAGTGAGACACGAACACCTTTCCAGTGTTGGCGGAGTTGCGCGGGTGTTCTCGCTCCCGTTATT